TGACCAAAAGCATTGACATGGTCAAGGCCCACTATCACTCTACCACTGCGCAAATTCTGGTCTACAACAATCTCTCCCAACCGTTCCACATCCGGTCTGCTGCCCAACAAGGCTGCCTCCTGTGACCCATTCTGTTTATCTACTCAGTTGACTGGATTCTCGAGAAGGCCCTACGGTAAGAGGACGCTGTTCAGCTTGCACCCGGACGCCAAGGTGATTGGTCTCGACTACGCCGATTATGATGTTCTGCAAGCCTGAAGCTTTGGTGATCTACAGTCTGTATTGTCGCAGGGAACGAGATCGCTACGTCAGTTGACTCAGCCATAAATATAGCGAAGAATAAATTATTGTCCAGCTGCAGGCCTGACTAAGAGAAGACGCCTCGGGGATTAATGGCCGCTAACTTGGAAAGGTAGACAGCCTTAAATACCTCGGGTCAAGGCTGCTACCACATGGACAGAGTGAGGACGACATTGTCTGCCGAATCGATGTTGCTCGTCAAGTTTTTCCAATCCTCCGAAAGCGCCTTTGGATTCAACGCGCATCTCCATCGTCATGAAGATCCGGTGAACCGCGCATCCACCCGGTTAGTCTTCGTCTATGGATGTGAATGCATTCAATCCGGCGGCGCAGTCCTCCTGGAGACGTCAAAGAGAAGGGCACCTCAAGACTTGGCTAGACCCCGTTCGTCCAGACATTTAGGCGGTTTTTGGACCTTCGGTTTTTGGTCTCCGTCGCCGGTGAATAAAATGGGTGGAGAATTTCAAATCCACTGCCGCTAATCGTCATGCGTGGAGAGATACCACCAGTGACATCATCAAGGCAGACTAGATCAGGCACGATCCTAGCCGTATCGAATACAACTACCACGGCCTTGCCTCTGTGGTAAAAGATAGAGTAACGAAGGGTTTCCTTGAAACAGGCGGTACCGTGGTGGACGCTGGCAACGTGAGTATACACACAGCTAACAGAGGGCAATGGTTGGTAACACTGGGACGGTACCTGTAACATAATTCTCAAGAAACTTTATGGAAAATACGAATATAACGG